GTGTCCCGCAGGAGCTGCCCTCCTGCCCTCCCTGCTGATGAGTGGGGGCTTATTGCCTGGGCTGGGGGTCATGCCGGGCAGGGGGTGGCTCTGTGCAGAAGGAGCAAAGAATTCCACACTGTGCCCGCCAGACGAGGACAGACAGGAGCTGCTGAGGGGCTTCAGGCCCATTCACAGAACACGTGGTTGGGGGTTACCTCATTCAGCCTACCCACGCTGGTTTTGTCCAGCTGCGGCAGGGGACACGCTGACCACGCAGCTCAACCTGGGGTAAACCACGCGTGGGGTCCAGCGTGACCGCACGATGCCCGTTGGCAGCTCCTGGGGTGGGGGCTCGGTGTGGCAGGAGCTGGGCGAGGACGTGGCAGTGCTGGCAGCCAGCTGGACCTGCTGCAAACCCGCAGTGCTGCCTGGGGGCTGTGAGGAGGTCCGTACACCCCGTGTGCGTGGCTCACTGTCCCCATTGCCCTGGCATCACCTCTTCTTGCAATGCTGGTTGTGCTCCCCAGCTGTGGGATGTAGCCGGCTACCCTGCTGGTCACTGCTCCAGCATCGCTGCCGTGACACCCTGCTCCTTCGCCTGGTGACGCCGGGACACCAGAGCCTGCAGGTGCTCAGGGAGGAGGTGTTGGCACCAGCAGCTGGGCTGCAGACTCATCCAGGGAACAGGATCTCCCCCAGCATCTCCAGCTCTGTCCACCCAGGACACCCCCATCCTGGGACAGCCCAGGACATCCTTCCACGGGCACTGCTGGCTCTGCTCCAGCAACACATTATGGCTGGGCAGCCTTTGGCTGACCCACACATCATTACCCCCCATATCCCTTACAACCAGGGGCAGGGCAGCCATTTCCCCAGCAGTGCCCCATGTCCCAGGGCCTTTATCCACCTTCCTCTTGTGCAGACAAAGCAACAGACACACACCCATCCCCCTGTCCTGTCCCTTAGGGTCTCCTTCCCTTCTCCTCTCATTACTCCAGGCAGCTTTTTACCTGGAAACCCCAGAAGCTGCAGCCTGGCTGTGTCACTGCCCTGCCAGCTCCCTGGCACGATGTGACCAGGCAGCCCCTCAAATTAGCTGGCGCCTTCATTAAGGGACCCTTCCCTGGGGCCCTACCGCA